TTGGCCATAGTAGAGAGGTTTGACAGTAGATACTTTAGGTCTGTGCAAAACAATGAGCTACATTAAGATCACGTGATTTAGCTTCCTGGTGAGACCGCGTAAGCATTGCTTGATGGGCCCCTTTTGACGCTCTTGATCAATATTAGTTCTCAATCGGATGAAAAAAAATCATGATTGAGGTGGAAGCCAGCGTAAGTACTCTAGATTTGAGAAAAAAAATTCTTGACTAAATAAAAGAACCTTTGGTGTTTGCGAAAGTAAAAACCAAATGTTTTTGACTAGATACAAAAACTCTTCACTAACAATGAAGTATTCTCACAGGTCTTAACACAGGGGCACCCAAAGACAATTTTCGGAAGAATATCTGTTCGGAAGACGATTTGAGATCTAGAATTTTCGAAACATTTGTTGTAAAATTTCTTGCTTGCCCGTCTCTCCTAGGATTTTCGAACATCTAAAAAATGGTATAATTGCCTATTTTTAACGGATTTTTACTCTAACAAGGTCACCTAGAATTTTCGGGAGCCTTTTTTCTGGCTGAAATTTTCGAAAAGGTAAGTTTTGATCCCTATAATTTTCGGATCACTAGACTTTCAGCTAGGAAATCCGAGCAGATGAAAAATTTTTAGGGGATAAAAATATGCCTATATCTACCGTTTAAATACTAAAATACGTTTAACAATGCTATGTTTAAGTGGTTTTGAACTATATTCTCGTTGGGTGCCCCCGTTAACAGCTATCACGATGGCGTACAGTAAGTGTTAGTTTAATTCCAACAAGACATTTTAGGAAGGCAGCAATGATATCAAATCCCGGGTATGTATAATGAATATTCTTAAATGCATTTTCTGCTTAATAGGAAAGTATCACTAATTAGCAGGAATCATTGATAACAATACTAAAAATACGAGCAAAACAAATCGAAAAGATCGGCCATTTTCCAGGGGCGTCCAAAGACAGTTATTGGCGAAACATGATTATAAAACGAGGCCTACTCTTTTTGAAGTTACTGCCAAAAGAAAAGCTATTTCCCACTACCTGGAGAAGAAGTCCAGCTTCCAGCTTAATAAGATGGGTAATTAAAACACCCGCCTTTTGTCTCCTCTTGAACTCGATCCGCGACCGTATAATAAAAGCGTCTTTAAAGCAATTTACGGCCGAATCCCCACTGAATCGCTATCTCTTACACCAACCCTTGACGGACACAAAACTGCCAAAAAATTAAACTGGCTTAACGCTCCTGCGATTTAGCCAGCGAACTTCACTTTGCCCGTCAACAGTCTTCTTTTCTAGTCTCCTTCAGTTTTCTTTCTCTGTCTTTCCATCCAACCACCTGTACTTGAAATTCTAGAAATAGTTAGTAATTAATTCCCATCCGAAGATCTTCAACCAGCTGAATTTTGACTGCCAAAAAGAGTGATATTTGGCGCGGAACTCTACCTGCTTCTAACTTTTTTTAAAGGAGGAATGATACCACTATCATGTCATTTTTTTTTTCAGGGCACAACTTCTGCCACTCACAAAAGAAAAAATAGCAAAGACGATTTTCTAAGGAAGGCTGTAAACAAATATAAATAATGCGTTTTTATTAAAAAGGAGAACTTGACAGCTAATTAGAATACTTTTGGCAAGCTGATAAATTACTTGTCATTGGATGAACGAACGTTCCGTCAAAGTTAAAAAAAAAGCATATCTTTTGCCGTATAAGCACTAAGCATGAAACTGCGATGTCTGTCTCCTCCTTCTTTTTGCAAGTCTAACGTGCCCGTGCCTTCAATGTAAATTACATTTTCTCAACTGTTTATTGAAACAGGATTACTTACAACTAGTAATCAGGAGATATAGATTTAAAAGAGAAAAAAGGCATGTTTAATATATAATTTGTTTTTGCGAGCAAAGAGGTCCTCTGACCTTTGCTGGGTTAAGTTATAAATTTTATTAAACGTTTATGTCAGCTCATTTGATTTTAACTCCATACGGAAGCGCTCAGGACCCTATTCGCTTAATTAAATGCCGGAAAGAAACGTAAACTTTTCTGCATGTTCCCTCGATTACACATCTTCAGCTTTCCAAAAAATGAACTTTTGGAAATCATTCTTAACAATCTGTCGAACTTCTTTCATTTTCCAACCGAAAACGACTGGATTTAACGATGAATTGAGCAGCACTAGAACTGTTGTAAGTTGTATGGCTTCCTTTATAGCTGCATTCGGCTGAGGACTCACTAGCAACAGAGTCAAGGTGATTAAATATGGACAATAACACAGTAAGAATACAATATATACGTAAAAGGTTTTCATGGCTAAGTTCTTGATTCGAGCCATGCTTGTGAAACTTGACAGTTGCATTGCCACTTGTGCCTGGCTGTTTATGCTTGCTGCGTGTTGACGAGCGACGAGAAAAAGTTTAATGTATATGATACTGAGCAAAATCGTGGAGCAGTAAGCAACAATAAGCAAAACCACTTCTCCAACCTTAAAATACCAGAAGACACATATGAAAATGGTAGCCAGGGAAAAAGTCGACGACGCAAGTACCACGGTGACTATTCGCTTTGTAGTGACTAGTTCATTGTATCTAAGATGCAAATAAATTGCAAGAAATCTATCGACTCCGATGAAAGTCACCGCCATTAATGAGCAACCAGTTAACGAAACTTGTATCAGGAAAAATGCTAGCAAAATTTCATGAACGTTCTCGCAGCTATAATTTTGCCGAACTTTTGAAATTACAGCGATGTAGAGTGGATGACCTAGTACCCCAGTGGTGAGGTCTGTTATCGCCAAGCACCAAAGCAGAGTTCTCGTTGAAGAAGGAATTGATGAAGTTTTTCCTAGCGCAAAAATGAGGCTTGCGTTTCCAAAAACCGCGGTCACCGAGAGAAAACCATTAAGGACACACATAATAATTTATAGAGGGTAAACTTCTTCAGGTTTTCCATAGTACTTCATCAAAACCTCATTGCAAAGATTGAGTGATGCTGACATTTTAACTTCTATATACGCAGCGTCCCCTGACTTACAATGTGGTGATCTTGCGCATCAAGTATCTTTTACGCGGTTGACGTTCTGAAGGTAATTTGTACAAGGAGAATAAAAAACTTTCTTAATTTTCTTATTTTACGTAAGCGCATGAAATTAGCACTTTTAGTCGTTTTGACTGACAAATTGGCTCATCGATATAATTTTTCCAATAGCTTGATTCTCTAATAGCAAAACAAATACAGCTTTCTTGAACAATTAATATTGATAAAGTTAAAAGAGTCCAGAATAAATATTGTACGGAAGTTATGTAATGTCAATTTCATTTCTATTAAGACAATCATATCGTATTTCTTGGAGAGAGAAACGAGATGGAAGTACTTGACAATCCTGGACTTGGTAATGTTGTTTTTTCTTTGAGGTTAACTGCTAAAAGGCACTGAATCAAAGTCAGCGCCAACTCTGTGGCTTGCTAGCCTCCAGGCAGAAACCACTAAAAATTTAAATGAATGTATGTAAGTGGCATAATTTGAATTGTCGGTTTTTTTTTATTTTAGACCAAATCCTCTATTTTTCATCACGTACATGTAAGTTGAATTATAAATATTTTTCTTTAGCTAAAACTGCCTTAGGGTACTTACTACTTATCTAACATCTCAGTCGCTGATCATTTGGCATCATTACTGAGTACATAGAAAAAACCAGTTGGTCTGAGTCTAAAACGACATGTTATTAAACGCTGCTGACCAGGTGAATGGCCCCAAGGTGAAAATAGATGAAATAAATCACCCAAACAGAAATTAGTTAAAAGATGATACCGACAAAACCGTCAATTAAATAACATTAAACCAACAGAATTAAACATTTTAGACCATGGGCTAACTTCTCACTTTTCTCCTGGGGTATTAAAAATCGGGGATTATTCTGCTACAATATTATTTAGCGTTGCTTAATAATAAAAAGCAAGTGGCGGCGAGCATCTCGTGATGGAAAACAAGTAAAAAATAATTTGACCAATTAAATAATTCTATCTACTCAATCGGCTTCTACTTAGCTTTTCGGCCTTTGTTTTCACTGTATATTCCAGTAAGTTAAGGTGTGTTGTCAGAACTGGCCGGGGTAAAACGTTTCCTGATAATTTGCACAAATAAAAAAACCACATTACGTCAAGTCCATAAATTGCCTCCTATGAAATGTCATTTTCAATCTTTATTAAAAGGCAATGAAGTACGATGAGCTTTTTCAACGAAGAAATCCAACACTTGCATAATATGTTGGTTATATTTATCATATAAGTTAAGTTCAGGCATACGAACTCCAAAACTCCTGCACTGGAACAGAGTTATATACTTCTGCTTGTATTTACTATCATTTTATGGGCTTCTGTACCCATGATTTAAAAGCATTTTTAAATGAGAATTTACGGTGGAAGTTTTTGGTTATTTTTCTAGGTTTATTTAAGGCCCTAAAATCAGTCGGGATTTCACAATGCACCGTAACGTGGCAGTTGTATTTTAAAATCCTCTTAAGCCTCCTTAACACAGAATTGTCGTTTCCTCCAGTCCCTCACCCAAGTCCTTTGACACACTCCCAGTAGTTAAAATTATTAAATGCACGAAAGATACGTTACTGAACTATCAAGAAAGATTGCAAATAAACACGAATAACTAGTTTTATTAAAACCGTACATGCAAGGCAGAAAAATGACAGCTAAATAAATGAGGTCACAAATTGCCCTTGGCAAGCATTCCATGCTTGAAAGCCAATCCGTTTAAGTCCCCGACAAAATGCAATAAAAAACCTTTGATGCTTTAACACTATCTGATGGATTTGAAAAAAAGAAAAAGAAAAAGAAAAAAACAACCTAAAGCTAAAGGAGGCCCTCGACGACGAGTTACACACAGGTTTCCCGCCAGCATTATTTTTTTCTACGTAGGACTAAGGTGGAGTAGTTGCGATTTTTTGATGTTTGTCTGCTGAACGTGTAACCCGAAAGAAGGCTTCATCTGATTTATGGAAAAAATAACTTTTAAAATAATTCTTAACGTTTTGACGAACTTCCCTCATTTTCCAACCTAACACCAGAGGGTTTAACGATGAATTGAGCATCATTAAAACTGTTGTAAGTTGAACAGCTCCCTTCATCGTTGTACTCGGCCGTGAACTAACAAACAACACAGTTAAGACGATTAAATAAGGACAATAACACAGCAAAAATACAACATATACATAAAATGTTTTGATGGCCAAGTTTTTGCTCCGAGCCATGCTTGTGAAACTTGACAAATGTATTGCCACCTGCGCTTGGCTGTTTATGCTTGCGTGCTGACGAGCGACGGAAAAAAGTTTAATGTATATGATGCTAAGTAAAAGCGTACAGCTATAACCAAAAATTAGCAAAAGTGTCTCCCCAGCCTTAAAATACCAGAAGACAGAGATGATAGTGGTAGCTAGTCCGAAAATCCACGACGCAAGTACTACGGTGACCATTCGCTTTGGAGTTACTAGTTCGTTGTATCTAAGATGCAAGAAAATTGCCAGAAACCGATCCACTCCCATTAAAGTCACTGTTGTGAATGATGCGGAAAGTAACAAACCTTCTATCATGAAAAATGAAAATAGTATTACATGGATATTCTCACAACTATACTCTTGCCGAATTTCTGACATGACAGCGATGTAAAGAGGATGGCCCAGGAAACCAGTGGCGAGATCTGTTAGCGCTAAACACTGTAATAGAATTCGCGTTGACAAAGGAATTGATGAAGTTTTCTTTAACGCGAAGATTATACTTATATTTCCTAAAACCGAGGTGAAAGAGAGAACGCCATTAAGAACACTCATAACCAGATATAGTGGGTACACGTCCTCTGGTTTACCATAGAACTTCTTCAGAACTTCATTGCAAAGATTGAATGTTACTTCCAT